TTTGCTGGAGCGCGTTAGGATCCCATTCTAATTTCCTCTGCTCTGCATGCTCCGATTGATGCCCTCCGAGCGCCCGGATGATAGCAACGACAAGCTTTGTGCTTCCGGTGGAGGTGGTGCTAGGAAGCTGCGCCGCGGCACACAACATCAACCAAGGTGCTTCTCGAGAAAATCTCGGTTTCGGCCACTGACCTCATTGTGAAGACTTTCGCAAACCAAACCTTTACAAAACGCTCCAAGGGTTCAGAGCCGTGCCTGTACGCTGCCAAAGAGAAGTCAAGAGGAGAGGAATGAGAGGGAGAGAGAGAGAGAGAAGGTGGGATTTCTTGCCATGCCACATTTCCAACATGATGCATGAAAAGCCTGAGCGACCTTCTTACCTCTTGATGCAACGTTTTTGGAGTGTCGACTCCACGCTCGCACAAGGCAGGCACGGGTTCCAGGAAAAGTTAGGGTTATGAGTTTAGGGGCGCACCGCAACATTCTGGGCTCATGGCGATGTAAAGCTTCAAGTCATCCCGCCTCCGCGAATTCGAGAACAATGCTTGCCACCGCACCGGTTTCGGACAGCCCTATCAAGCCCTGGCCGTCTCCGAACGTTCGCGCGTGTCTGTGTATGTATGTATGCGTATATATATATATATATATGTATATACACATACATACATACATACATACATACATACATACATATATATTACACATACACATGTGTATCTACATGCAATTCATGCTAACATAATATGCGTAACAGAGACATGTATACAGATGCACACAACTCAAGCGACTCTGTTGCAGCCTGCAGCTGGCCCTCAACAGCTGGCCAGGGCCTGGCCAATCTGGCCAACATCTCCTGGGTCTCTTCGGTGGGCACCGCATCCTCCGGTTTCGCCTCCGAAGAGCCGTGGGACAACAGAAGAAGCCTTGTGCTAGTAGAGTCTTGAGAATGAGTTGCCCGCAAGGTAGCACTAGCTTAGGTCTCCAGCCGCAAGGGTCTAGGATTCTAGGATTCAATTCATCCATCTTATTTTCCAGGTCTTACTTGTATGCTGCATGGAAGTCGGGGTACAGTATCTGCCTGTGGATTTGTACAGCTAGAAGCCAAGGGGCGAACATCGGTAACCTTCGAGGGGAGTGCTTTAAAAGATGTCTCGGGCTAAGCTTCGCTTCAATTTTGCAGCGCTTCCGTGCGCGACCAAAGCCGAGACTGGTGCAGGCACCTCGAACTCTCGCAGGGTGCCATCGTAATCCAGAAACAAGGCCTTGAGCCCCGGTCGAGATGCCTGAGAGCAGCGAAACCGCTGGCATCTACAGTTTCAGCTTGGGAATCGGCCCATGGGCGACTAGAACCCGCGACGCATGCGTCGGGGCAATGTATGAAGGACGACTGGACCGGTGCTGCATTGCACCGAGCATGCGACACAAAGATACATGGACTAGCCGACTAGCGCCTCAGCGTTTTCCCAGCTCTGGAGTCATGGACACACACTCTTCCTGATGCTGTGAAGGCTTGAAGTTCCGAACCGTGTCAGTGCAGGCAGGCAGCAAAGAACTTCTGGGCGCAGTGATCCTGCAACAGCAAGCCGAGCAAGCAGCACACAAGCCATCCCTGCATGTGTAAGGCTTTCGTTGACCGCGGAGCAGTGGAGATATAGTATGTTATGGTGCAAGCCAGTGTGACATTGTGGCGAAGGCGAAGACTGACAGGCGCACAGTTCCATCATTGGTCAGATGGTAGACGGCTGCACCTGTAATATTACCTATGGGGATGTTGCTGGCTTCACGGCTTTTAGGACATGGTCTGTATTAGCCTCTACACTTTCAGAGGCCGAGGCAGAACCGGGTCTAAACTTCCGCGTCAGGGTAAGCTTCCTCACCGGCATGACCCCAGCCGTAGGACACACGGCGTTCCATGCACAGAGACTCTAGGGCCCACTGGTGGTTGGACCAACAGCAATGCTAATGCTTCTATACCAGAAAGCGTGCTCTCATGATCCAACTGCAACACCGGGAAAGTAAGCCCCTCTTGCGGCAATCTCAGCCGGGTCCTGCAAGTACTGCATGGCCAGTCTCTCCTTTGCAGGTGCCGCTGGGAGCAGAAAGCAGCCGACAGAATGGTAGACTGGTGCGGCAAAGCTCTCGAACCATACTGATCACACATGCCACGTCTGTTGAAACTGGGACGGCATGCACTGGGCTGACAGTGCCGGCACATGCCGGCACAGGCAAAAGATGGCAAAAGAAGCCAGACCATAAGTCATATCCTCGCGAGCCCAAGCCAAGGTCGACAAGAACCTGTCAAGAAGAGGGAAACACTCATCAAGTCCTGAGATCCAACTTTGCACTGAGAGACGGGTCGTGCGATGCGCGAGCCCTGCAAAGGATTCTCCAGCTCCGCCAGCATGCTGCGCCCCCAAGCTGCCTGGACCGCGCTTGCTCTTAGAGTCTTAGAATGTCTTAGAGTTTCTAGGGCTCTGGACCCAGCAGCAGCGGCTCAAGGGCCATCATTACACAGCTGGAAACAAGGGGGGTGGTGAAAATATGTCAGAAACTGCAGAGGCCGGAGGGACCTATGGAGGAACATGCCGAAGGTCAGGCCTGGGGCCTAGAAGATGTCTCGGCATCACAGAGTCAGCTACACTTTCTCCTTGCCTCAACAAGGCCCTATAGGGCCCGAACAAAATCTCACGCCCCCTCCCCCAAGGTCGGCGCAGAGTCGTTTTCGATGATGGATTGCCGCATGCGTTCGGTGACTTCCCAGCGTTGGTCCTGCAGGCTTCCAACAGGATAGGTTCCTGACCGCAAAAATCCGCAGCTCTTGCACAAGTACCTTAAGGCTCGTGGGGGCTAGCGATATTCCCACATGCATGTGCACATTGCGGGGCTTCCAGCACATTCTCGACGACGCCGCCCACATATGGAAATGAACACCACTGTAGACATCTTGGGCATCTCAGCGACAAAAAACAAATTATCCGAGGACCATGGGTAGGTCCATGCTGCAACCTCAACCGCAACCGGTGTCCACCGGAATCCCGGAAGCTGTGACGGTTGGAAGCAGGCAGTCGCATCATCGATTCAAGCTGTCTGGGCGAACAGGAAAGGCCAGTTCGCAACGTGGTCGTGCCCTTTGTCAAAAGCCCAATGTCACCAACTCGCCGAGTCCTCGCTCAAGCAGTTTCCGCGGGTGAGCTCCAGACCAATCTGAGGAGGGCTTCTTAACTAAGGTCGTTGGAGATCCTCCTGGCGTTCCGAAAATGTGCGAAGGAGGAATGCGCCCTAGCCTTGGGGAAACCAGGGTGCGAGGGATTCCGAGGGATTGCGAGGTCACGGGTGTGCCAAGCGCTGGCGAAGCGCTGCGATGGCATCTGCAACAGCATCGTCATCGTAGGGGTTCACGACAATGGCATCGAAGAGCTCCTGGCCCAGAGTAGCGGCGTAGCGCGGCGAAACCTCACAAAACCTTGCCAAGTAATTAGACCACTTGAGCTCCCGTTCCTGGGCACCTTGCATTGCACACAAATGACACGTTCCAGCAATCTGGTTTAAGCTTGTCGGCGAAGCTCGGAAAACTGCTTCATGGCGATGAGCTGCCTAGATGTTGCACCTGTCCTTGCTATCCACTGTCATCAAACACCTGGCCCCAGCACAACCCCAAGCCGAAGCCCCAAGCACAAGCATCGCCTGCGCCGCCCCTGCCAACTCGGAAAGGACGACCGTGCCTTCAGACTTGTAGCTGCTGGGCTTCCACTGCAAATAATCTATCCAGACTCTGCAACAAATCGACGAATTTTTAGTTTTCACAGCTTGGAAAGGGCTCCTTCTGCAGGCTTGCAAGGCTTGCTGGCCAATCACAGGGTTGGGCGGTCTGTCGACCGGTCTGATATGCACCCGGTCTGAAGTGAAGAGGCTCTTCTGGTTGTGGCTAGGGATGGCCCAAATCTCATGATACGACATACTGGCGGTTGAGTGCTGTCCAAATCATGCTCCTGGGTTTGCAAGCCCAGCGACCAGTCCGAAAGCTACTGCGACAAAGCACGCGTTGCCCTAACCCAACAGCCCTTGCATGACGAGTTCGTAATGCTTCAGATGCTGCCTCCCAAAACCCCAGAGCCTCGAGCCCACTTTCGGCCTGTTCCGGATTGTGCTGCAACGCAGCGCTATGCAACACATCATGCCGCACAGAAGTAGCCCCTTCGGCCGCAAAGGCAGTGCCACGGGCTGAAGATCTTACCGTACATGTAGTCACCGACCGGAACAAACAAGTCGCCGCTGGTGCGTAATGAACAAGGCAAAGGCCTGGCACCACTTTGTCTATGCTGCGGTCTTTGGCAGCAATGAACTCCTTGGCCTTGGATATGCAGCATTCGAGATCATGGGCTTGCGGCTGCCGACGCCGTGCCTGCTATTACCCTCTCTACTCAACAACGACACTTAGTTCACATTGGGTTGCATGAGTTGGTGGCGAGAGTGCCGACTAGGATAAATGCACAGTCATGGTGACGATATGTGATGATGGAGATCAGACGAGTAGCCGTGCCACAACGAGAGCAATTCGCAATACGGAGGAAGGAGGAGCAGGAGCAGAAGCAGGCGAAAGCGGAGGAAGAGTCCAATGATGTGTGCTCGCCCACTTGGGATGGACGAGTGCACATGACTGCCAGGCCATCATGCGACTACTTGGAACAAGTCCTTCTGGGATGACCGGTCAGTGGCCTTCGATTCTCAACGCCCTGACCCGTCCCTTGATCAAGGGAAGCCGATGCCGCCGTCGTTTGGTGACGCGGTCAATCAATGTGCAGCTCGTCAGCTAGTGGCTTGTGACGGCTAGTGCTGATACAACCGTTCCCTTAAGCTGGCCAGCCAGTGCGGCCCAAGATCTACCAGGTTCATTCCGTCGATGAGCGGCGTCACGAGACCTCAGTCGCTCGGCCATAAAGATGAGCTGGCCAAATATGGGCTCGATCGTGGAATTGGGTCTTCTCGAGTATTCCAGGCTCCAGTGCAAACCAAATCTACTGGAGCCATTGCAAGTTGATCCGTGCAGCCACAGCTACCACTAAGATGCCGCCATCGCAGATAATAATGGGCACCCTGAGAGCAATGAATGTTGAGCCCTATATAGGCCCTATCCTATAGGCTTTGGTAGGGAACAGCAAAAGGCCACCGGATGCTTCAAGAGAACAAAGCTCTCGACTGAGAGATTTGCCGTGCATCCAATCGTCTAAATATCGTCAACCGATCCTGCCGTACCGTTCGAGCATGGGGCAGCAGTCAGCTCGCGCATAGAGGGCGGCCAGTTCTGGCATGGGGACACCGCGGTGGATGTAGACGATCGGCTGATGCCTTTGATTCGTGTTTGCAGTTCTCAGTTCAAGCGAATTTCGGCTTCTGGGCGTTGGGTCATGTCGGGCCCGAGGCAGGCTTTGGCGTGGCCTTCTAGAAGTCGGGACACACACAAGATCGCGGTGCATACTCCTTCGTTTCAGGGTTACAGATCTTCACATCCAGGCCAGCCGAGCCCAGATGTGAGAAGTGACCTTGCAGAGCTTCCAAAAACGCCCCAAGGCCTCCACTTGTTGACCTTGGGCTGCGGGCGGTGGGTTTGGACTGTGGACATATAATGGACCATGGCTGGACCATGGCTCGAAGCTGATACCCGGATCAAGAGATCTCAGGCGGGGTCCATTGCCAAGGTCGCGAAGTAAAGTCTGCAGCAGTCGAGTTGCGAGAGTGTAGAAAAGTTGCCGTTGATGGTGCTGATGCTTCGGTGCACCTGGATCCCAAGCCACTTCTCTTTGTTGCTTATCGTGATTTGTGGTTGCTTCAGGGAGGGTCCCGCCGCAGGCACTGGGGATGCAGAAGCAAGGGTAAATCGGATCACCTCTTCCTCGATCTTCTGGTACTCCTCCACGTCTCGCCTGCCAGGAAACCAGAGAAAGGAATGCAGGCTGTCCACGATGTCGTAAACTGGCAGCTCGCATCGTGGAGGAGTGGCAAGGCTATCCCACTAACCTCTGCGCAACCTGGTTTACTTGCATGTCACTGCTGATACTGTCCTGCTGGGAACGGCTATGAAGACGAAGACGGTCTTGTTGTGATCCAACTCTGTCCTCAAAGCGTAAAGTTGCATGCGATTTCTGCACGGAAGCGCAGCGAAGCTTTACTACAAGTGGCAGGGGAGCTCAGCATCACTGCATCCTACGGTTCTGCAACGTTTTGCGGAACCCGTTTCAGATCAAGCTGAAGCGTCCATGCGCTTTCCGGGTTCTGACTGCTCTCATGCTCTGCTCCCAAAGAACCCGAAGCCAAACCAAGCTTGAGTTCTCCAGTGCCGGCCGCTCGAAGTCTCCCATGAGCATTTTCATAACATTCGCACCTGCACTTCGGAGCGGCGGACTTTTCAGGGTCTGGCGGGATCCGAAACACCAAAACGGCCCCAGCCCGCGCCGGGCCTATGCGCCGCAAGTTGGATGTTGCGAGCCCGCGGTTCGCCTGGCGGAAGATCGATGCGAAGCAGTGAACTGCAAGATGGAGTCGTGAATTGCGTCTGCTTTGGAGGTCAGTGGTACCTGGTACCAGGGATCGCGTACGATTGCACGTACGGTTGTGGGATGCTGCGTTGGAATGGCGAATATATTTCTGATCTGCGAATCCAGCTTTTGACCACCTTGCCCAGAAACGAAGCGGAAGCGGGGCAAAGGCGAAGCTCAAACTGCTGCACTTCAAACACATTTAAAAGCAACGAGATGCAACCACAGCCTCGATTTGTCGTGTGAAGCTTCGGCCACGAATCAGACTGCAAGACACCTCGGAACCTGGAGCGAACGAACCTTAAACCACAGTGCAAGCAGCCACATCTCGTTGCGGGCACTTTAGGCCGCGGTGCCCGCGTATTTTGCGCTGGGCTCCGAGGTGAAAGTACTGCAAGGGTCGTGGTCCACACATGGTCTTGGGAGGCACACCGCCGCCCCACAGCACAGGAAGGCTTTTGGGAGGGCCGGGTCCCTAAAAGGAGGACCATTTCCGGCTTCCCGAGTCCTCAAGCTGGAAACCCCCCACTTGTGAGACACCACATGATTTCGTGGACATTGAGGATAATAACGATATGAATGATTGTATATGACGACATCGTAGGTAAAACGAAATGAGTATGAATGACTAAAGATCTGTCTGTCTGTCCATCGACCAGTAGTTCAGTAGTTCATGTACGTCGACAAACGCCCGAGGAAGTCTGTGGGCATCAGTAGCCGTAGTAGCCCGAATCTTCCATTCCGCCTGGCTCAGGCCGATTCAAAGCGAAGCCTACTCCTGCCAGTTAGCTGGGAATTCTTCCCCATGCAAAAACATGAGGCTCAAAACCCACACACACCCGCCCAGACATGGCCTGAGCCATCACCGCCATCACCAGATGGAGCACCAATGACGCCCGGCACCATGTCGTCCGTTGGTGTCGTTTTGAAACTGGTGTCCACTGCCGCTTGGTCAACACCGACGAGGCGGTTGACAAGAATGCGCACATACTGCCAAAGAGCCTTGCACACTCAAGAACTTTGCCGTATTTCTTGCCCTTAGGCCCCCTTGTCAATTTCAATGTAGACGAGGCACATGAGCAAAGATGTACGGTAACAATAGAGGATAATTGATTCCTCCCACTACCAGCCCGAACACAGCTGCCAAGATCGAAGGCATGGCAATCATCAGGCGAAAATAGAGTCCTCCCGGCACCCAGATTCGAGTTGCTCAGAAATTCAACCGTCTGTTGTTGGCTATGACTTGCCCGTAACAATACCCTGAGCACTTGCGTGCGTCCTTTCTGTCTACAACAGCTGTATATCATGCCGGCCAGCAGGATCGGCAAGGTGACTCCGAAGAGAATGCCACCCACGAGCGTGAGCGTCTCGGCATGCGCGCTGATGGGAGAGTACCCTGTCGGGCACCAATCCTTTGAAACAGACTGCATGCTTTCTTGCGTGCATCGCAGATCAAGACGAAAAACAAAACCATCCCGGAACCTAAGCACAACACGAGTACGACTCTACCCAAAATGCCGAGCAGGCACGTCATGCTCTGCCACCACGTCCACGTAACTACCACTGCAACCACCATAGCCGAAGCAGCTTGATTCGTAGTAGCCGCTGAAATCACGAGGGTCGGTGGATGCATGGAACACAGTTCCGTCGGTCTTCCATTCAAAGCTGAAGCTGGTTGGTGTAAACCTCGAAACATTTCAGGTGCCTTGAACAGCACTCCCATGATCTGCTGCCAACACAAAGAAGGTCTTGCTTCATGCCGCCAAGATTCAACAGCGCCGTTCCGGAGCACCACAGTGAAAACACAAAGAGCCTGATCATCAGCCCAAAAAAAGAACTGCCGCAGGGTCCTTAAACTGGAAAATGCACTACCGTCAGTCCCCGCCTGTGTGTTACAGTCGTTGGTGTCTGTGGACATCCGCCCCCTTCAGCTAGAACTGAAAGCCAGAAGCTGAAACCTTGAGTTGAAGCACACGCTTCATGAGGCGATGTTTCTGGCCCGCGATATTCGAGAAGAGCAACAACAGTGCGGCAGGGAAAACTGCAAACTGGCGAACAAAACTTTCAGCAAAGAGCCCATGGCTCAGACGAGAGGCTGCTGATGCCGACCAAGGCTGCTGCTGCCGACAAAATGCACAAGGCGCCATAGCCTACCGCAGACAAGTGCGACAAGCCTTCGATTTTCTCCATCGTCCAAGAAGGACACAGCACCAGCAGGTGTTCTGCGGGAGAGCTTGTGTCTGCAATGATCTCCAGGATGGTCATCATGTTGGAGGTTTTCCCAGTGACAATAAATATCTTAGACCAACAAGCATCAGCAGTCCCAAGAGCCAGGACCCTCCCCTCCATCCATTGCCCTACACAAAAAAACACAATATGTCCTCCGAGCTGCAAGGAGGACAAAGAGCGTTATGTCCACGGCGACATAAACGGTACCGAAGACCTTGGGCACTTCATCGGATCGCCCCCCCCCCCCGGGTTTTGAACAACACTCCCCAGCCTCCCTTCATCCGAGAAGTGCTTCAAGCTACGCTTGAAAACCCTCGAGGTCAGTTTTAGCCAGAACATGGCCATCTCTTCCGAGTGCCTTTGATACGGTTGACATACGGTTGACGGTTGACGGGATAAATAGGAATCTCCATAGGGTCCACGGTCTGTGGTCTGTCTCGGATTCCAGCACGATTACAGTGGCTCTGGCTGAAGGCTCTATGGTTTGCCAGGTTGCCACTTAACAGCGACGGTGCTCTAGGCTATTGTCGAAGAAACCAAGACAAAGTGCCGCAGTTAGTTCACTCTAGGTCTGTTATGCATCAGGCCTCCTGAAACCATGCCAAATCGATTATCTAAGCCTCAAACTCTGAAGCGTGCAAAGATCAGGGGTATCGCACGTTGACTCATGCTATCGGGACATCCTGTCATCGCAGGCATTTCTGCTGTTCGCTCCTCTCACCTCTGAACATCTAGTCGAAAGGCCGTGTGGTTGGAGCCTTGCAGCCCAGGCACCAGGCCCCGGAGCCAGCGATCGCAAGCCATGGCTCGAACACGACCGTTTGGTGTGCACCCGTGTGACTCACGTGGGTTCGAGCATGCTCGAGCCAAGCCATGTCAGTGCAAACGATGTGGAGCTTGTCAGTTTTGCGGAAGCACCTCATGCCCAAGAAGCTGCTACAGCATGCGTTCCCTTCAGGAGAACACGAGATGTGTCGTACGGATGACAGGGGTGCTGCAACATGCTTTGGCGAATCACCACTGCCAGCATCCGGAAAGCATGAATCCCCCCCCCCCACCACCCACCCCCCTCGCACAAAAAAAACAGAGCCACAGTGGTGGTACCCTACGGCGGAGAAAATGCTGGAGAAATTGAAATTGGAGCTGCAATGTGCTGTGCCCTCATCCCCGGACTCAAACTGCTGCTTCCGCGAAGGGCACCCCCCCTCCCCACAAGGAGCCAACGAGATCTGGTCTTGTTGAAACCCTCCGAAGAGAAGCCACAAGCTGCAAGACCCACCTTGTGCTTGTCGAGCCGATCGATGCGTTTCTGCAGCTCCTCCGTCAATGAGACTATAAGAGCTCGTAAAATTCCCATTCTTACATGACTGTTTTGTCTCACACCGTTTCTCCGCTTCGCATCTGCTAAACGGCCTTGGCTTTGGCCAGCTATGGCCGGTCCTCGAGACTCAGGGTTCTTTCGTTTGTCTTGGCATGCCAGCTTACCTGCCAGCCCATCCTTTACAGGGAGGGGCCTCAGTCGGCCTTAGTAATCTGATGACTTGGCTAGAGGTTTGGAGCATACCTAGCCTAAACCCTTTTTTGAACGAGGTCTCTCTGAACTGCCTAACCCTTTTTCCACAGGCTTGAACTGAGCTCGCCCGGCCAGATCCCTCGCAGCACATCGCACTCGTGGCGAGATGCGCAAGGCTAAGTACGCACAATCCTCACGATTTTACGGGCTAAGCCTAACCCTAAACCCTAAACCCTAACCTAAATCCTATAAACTCTAAACCCTAAATTCTATGAGGTTTGTCTGGAGGCTACCAGACAATGTCATACTGATTGAAAAGGCTTCGGCCTGCGCTCCTCGATGCGGTCTGTCCGCTGTGCATCCTCATCTTCTGCACTCCTGGGCTCATCCCATATAGTTAAAATGTAATACAGCTAATATACTAACATACTCTATCTCTCTCTCTCTCTCTATATATATATAATCTATATATATATAAATGATACAGTAGAATGGATCATATCACCGCTGACCCCCGCAGCTTCTGGATTCTTCGATCTGTTTTGGAGTTTTGGGGGGGACGTCTCGCGGCTGGCCCCGATTTCCAAATCCGAGACTCTTCTTCGCCTCCTCCAGGTATCTCTGGATGGCTGCCAGCTTTTGCCTGGGAGGGGAAAAGGAGAAGGAGAGCTCCGAGATTCTTTGGGGTAGTAGATTGCAAACGTCGAGCTCTGCAGCTGTGGAAATCAACTGAGACAGCTACTATAAGTTCTGCAAGCTCCACAACTACACCCAGCGTGCCCACTAACCTCACAGGCATCCGAAAACTCCAATAATAGCTCGGCCCAACCCCGGTAGGACTACCCCATACTGCCATGGCACGGAAGGCCCTTGGAGTAGTCCAAGCGCTCCACGTTGAGAACCAAGCTCTTGCCTTGCTTTGGCTGTGCGGCAAGATGTTCCAACTGTCTACCCAGCTCCCCCCCATATAGTGAGCAGCGCAGCAAGCATGTACTACACTTTGGAAGGAAGGGCTTAGGTCGACGTGCATTCCCTTCCATTGAACGGAGAACAGAGGAAACACTAAAACCGCAACAGCATCAGTACCGGACTATGCAAAACTGGCATTACAAGCTGGACTTCTTTTACAATGTAAAGGGTCCAACAAGCATGGCAGGGCCCAGGAAAACAAGAGATAACAACGTCTGTGTCCGGAGGGAGTACACTGGGCGAGTCGTCAGGGCACCTTGGAATTGCTCGGTGTACTCCTTCAAGTGCTGCGCGAAAGTCTCCTGAGCAAAAGAGCGGCGACGAAAACCAGCTGGCTTTGCGGGGTTCACAGCGCAACATGCTCTGCGCAGGCTTCTTGATTCGACGGAGTCTGTCAGGGTCGAGACTGTGCTACCTGTAAGAAGCCTGACTGATGTTGATGTCGGCCAGGCATCCGTCTTCATGGCATCCATGATATCATTCACCTTGGGTCGTACAGGTACTTGGTACTTGTACGGTGGCAAGGTGGGGCAGAGGTGAGACCTGTGGGCGGCTAGATGAGTTCCCAACAGAGGCCTTCACGTACTTTGCTACTCTGGGTCAGGCTTGCGCCAAGATAGTCAGGCATGCTCTTGCGAGCGCGGCATTTCTCGGATGACGTGCACAAGGACTAGATGGAAGAAACTGAAAGGCTACAATGACACAAGTTGCGCTTACGAAGCATGTCTTCACACCGAGGTGCATTCGCCCCAATAGGGAAAACGCCCAAATGTGTTCTTTGACCCCGATGGTCTACATGGTCGATGTCCTGCAGACAGTGTCTTGGCTGCTGAAGACCGTTGACCGTCAGCGAAATTGAAATTCTAGCACTTGCTTCGTGCAACCCGGCAGGTCCGGCGTGAAGCCGCAAAGACGGATGACGCACGACCGGAAATGACGCCTTGTGGTGAGCGGCGGGGGACTTGGGCATGGGTTCGAGGTAGCTTACTGGGATGCGCGGCAGCGGAATGTGGCGGAATACTTCGGCCTTTAAGCGGGCAACTCTCTGCAGCTGTCAGCCTGCTCATTGCTGAAGCCGTCTTGAATGGTCCGCAACGCGGACCCGCTGATGCTAGGCAGGGAACAAGTAGTTGTAGGTATGGAAGCCAACCAAGTCAGCACCCAGCACGCCCTCCACCACATCGACACACTGGGGCAGCACACACAGAACCTGCCACGGACAAGCGCACAACACACAGGTACAGCCTCTGAGTGGCGGCTTGCAGCTTGCAGCCCTAAAGAACTCCTGCCTCGTACCCTGGGAAGGGCGTGTGAAGGAAGAAAGCCTCGGGGTGAAACAAGGCACAGCAAATGCAGAAGCGCTTAAAACCTACAAGTAGCACTCCTTGGCTGTAGTCTCCTACATTGCCTTCTGCAGATGCGGTATCAGAGCTTAAAGAAAGAGACAGCCGTGATGCAATTCGCAGCTTGCTTGCCATCTCCTTGGTTGCATCTTTAGGCTGCCGGGCTTGATGCAGGCTTCTAAGAAACCGCAAGCGGCGAGCACTGGCGTGGGTATCGAAGTCGGTTTGGGGCAGCTTGTTCGGGAACCGCTCAACGGTCCGGCAAGGGATATGCAAACTTCCCATTGCCTTTTTGGCTTCTCCGTTTTGAGCACGTATCAGCTTCGACCAACTGAATCTGCGGTCCTTGGAGCACTACGAACACTACCTTTTCTTGATGACCTGTCTCAGAAACCTCTTCTGCCGTGAACTTGGTCCCAAAGTGAACAGCTCTCAAATCGATCCAGTTTCCACTTGCGTGATGCTTCGCCGCATCTTCTTCGTCGATGCATTTGGGTAGCCATCCCTCGTGGGAGCGAAGCATGGCACGGAGCTGAGAAGCCTTATAGACGGCTAGAGGAGGGGGTGCAGAGGAGAATCAATAGCTACGCTATTTTCGTAGCGCTGCAGTTGGTGTAAAATAATGCCGGGAACGGTGAACAGCATGTTCCAAGGTGACTTCAGCGTTCCGGAAGGACCCTGTGTCTCAAGAAGGACTCGGCTACTGGCTCCCATGTACAGGCAGGCTACAGGTGCCATAGTACAGAACGCAAAACCTTGCGATAAAACCCCAAGAGCCTTCTATCAGGACTCTACTCTGTCAGGCCATGCTGAAAGCCTTGAAGCCCTTCTTGGAGTGACCGTAGAGCCGAGACTTAAGAAAGCACCAAAAATCAAAGGCCGAGAGAAACAGAGGCCTCTCCGGCACAGCAAAACAAGGGACAGCAAGGAAGCCCGGAAAAGAGAAGCTGAACCTCCTGCCCGCTAGTCGGTCTGGCTACCAGGCCCTTCCGATTGCACGGAGCCTATTATGTACTTTGGGTGTGTCCGGAAGCTGCGGTCCTGCCAGGCTTTTCGGCTGAGTCCTCCTCCGCCGGAGGCTCCTCCTCCAGGCAAGAACAGACCGCGCTATCCCATATCATAATGCCATGATAGCGAATCCGAAGTCGCTCGAGAGATCTCACCGAATGTGAGTGCAGCATCTTCGCAGCTTAAGACAGGAAACCTGCACCAAGTTCAGGGATCTATCCCAGCCAGCTCATGCGTGCTTAGCTTGGGGTGGGCGTTGCTACTCATACGTGCTCCACATCTGGACCGAGGCCGTCGAAAGTGTCGAAAGTCTACCGGTACCATTTTGGCCCCTTTGGCAAGCAAGAACCGTGCGCTGAGCATAGACAAGGAAAAAGCAGTGTGCAAGAGTGTGCCACTTCGCCAGCTCCTCCCCAAGCAAAGTCAAGCGATCCGTGCAGGACTTGAAGGCATGGCGCTCAGCCTGCAGCGGACAAGGCCCAAACCCGCTGTGAGAGCGCAGAGAATCAAATTGAATCCCCTCCAGCTCATGGGCTCTGCGGGAAACCCTGTACTCGCAGTCAGCCGTCGACATGTCCCAAACTCGATGCAACCCACATCTTCGGGCTGCCTTCGGCGAATGTGAAGACATTGGCTCCTGAAATAGCGGCAGTCCCCTCTCAAACCACAGACTGGCTCAAGATGGAAGCATCTTTCTCTCTGTCTTCCTTAGACACACACCCACACACACACAGAGACAAACGTCGACACATGCAAGCAGATCTCCATCGACAGATGCCTTTGTATACACTGCAAGCACTTGGCAAGGTCCGGCACGCAGACATGCACGCGGATGCGTGCATGAAGACAAGGGTACAGAAATACCGGCGGAGAGGTAATACCTCCACAGTGGGATGACGCTTGCTCCCATGGCCTCAGACAAAAACCTGGACTTGGGAGCGGCTTCGGGTTCCCACTCATGAAGGAATGGACATTATCTATCCGATGGATCATGCCTCTCAACTCCACCTCTGTACCTTTGCGTGTCCGAATTCTCTCCTTCCCTCCGCTGCTGTGCCCACCAGACCAAACACGGCCACAAATCCCAACCAAGGCTTGGGTGTGATGCGACACTGCAAGCACCACCCGGCCGAGAACAGCTACTTGGTAGGGTGCGGGGTTCCACCTCGAAGGTCTCGCTGGTAGAGTGTGCAGCTGCCGGCTGTGCTTCTGACTCTGCATCCTGCGGATTCCAACAGTCATGGGCTGGATGACGGAAGATCTTTAAATCCGCAACCGAAGCCAAAGCCTCGAAGCCAAGCCTCCATAAGCCCCGCACAAGGCCTCTGGGGTGCTGGGGAGGCCCTCCGGCCGCTTTACGTGCCGCACGTCAGCGTCCGCGTGCGGCAGCTCCGGTGGCAAATGGCCTGAAGAAGGCAGGAAGCAAGACTGCACGAGTGTGAAGAGCTACTTTGAAACGGTCGTCGAGTTCGAGGCGTGTCTGTCCTTGGGGAGTTACGTTGCAGTGAGATGCCCGTCGGCATCTGCAAGGCTCGCGAGGTTTTCTTCTCGGGACCTGTGCGACGTGAAGGAATCTCAAACCTGAGTGGACAGAACCCATTCACGTAAAATCTTAATCAAACTAAGATCTGACTCACGCAGCAAACAGCAACCCCACCTGAATCAACTCCAAACCACCGCGACACTGATCATTTGCGACGCCGTCAGATTTTTGGCTGAATGCGCTTGACGAAACTCGAAGCTGCAAAACCCACAGCCTGGACACAACCGGCTCAGTCTTCTGCAACACACCATGTAGCTATGCCAGCTACGCAGCACCTGGTCTCTCGAGCTGAACGAGGCCAGACTTCTCCGCCTCTGCCTCTCCGACCAGCGCGAAAGGCTGAAATTGGACTGTACGAGGGGTTTCTTTGCGCGTTGCTTCTTCTGGCTACATGCCAAGGCACGCCCCTGTCTCTAATCGTGGAAACCCCACCCCAAAAAAACATTGCACAGGCCTGTACCAGCTTGATATCGCGCTTCTTGCGCAGCATCTGCGGGACCAGGAAGAGGTGGTAGTCCTGGGGTGAAGGAGGCTACGTGGCCACTCGGACCAACAAGGCCCGGGGCAGTGAAGGTCCCTCACTTGTGAGGAAGGTCCACTTGGTTGTGCTGGGCATCTCGCAGCTACTTAGGGTGTCTCCAGAGTGCTGGCAGGACGCATGGATCCATACGAGGTCCATCGGCGTGGCTTCCTTGGCCGAAGCGAGGCGTTCGAGGCTTTGGGAAAACATACAGCGCCCAGCTGTCTACCTGCTGCAGCCTACCGACACGGAAACGCCTCGAACAGTGAAAGCACTGGCTGTCTCAATGAAGAATTTAGAGAGAAGGTGAAGGCCTGCTGCTCCAGGCCTCAATGTGCCCTCTCCTCGCGCTCTCAGCTGGGGTGCCGTGAGGATGACATCTGCAAACTGCTCATTCACCCGGCGGTACGCCTCAGGTCATTGATTGTTGGGCCTCTTGTGCGGATGGGTCCACCACACGGCTTGAGTGAATACAAGGCAAGCCTTCGCCGGGCAAATCCCAACCTCAACGGCCCCTGATACCAGACGCAACATCCTGGGAGAAAAAGATGTCTTGCAATCGAAGGACAAGCATAACAGGCACTTAAAGTCGGCTCTAGCAAACTGCTTGGCAATGCTTCTTCAATGGCGGAGCTCGGGGTTTCCCGAAGCCTTCTGCCATCCTTCAGCACTCTACATCAACGCGGCCTCGGCCCACACGCGCTTGAAGCGTGCGTTCGTCGTCATCCAGTGCATCAGGGGCCACAAGGACGAGTTCGAGAAGCCTGCTTCAAGCGCCGGCGTTAAGTCTCAAGCCGGGAATTCTGCAACGGTTGTGCTCAACGAAGATAAGACATAAATGGCTGACCCGACACTTCAACAAGGTCTCACTTCTTGGCGATGCACGTGCTGAAAGGGAGTCGAACCCTTGAACAATCTGCCATGCTCTAACCGCCTGCTGCTCTGTTAAACATCTATAATCTGCTTCTAAATTCTAAGACGCTCAGTCTTACAGCGGCAGGAAACATTCCCGTTGAGATTCTCAACCTCTCAACTTGAGGATGGCTGCTGGGGTGGATGGTTGGGGCTTCGAAAGCTGGGGTGAGGATATTTAACTGGACACACACACACACACACACGCGTGTGTAACTTCATTTGCTTATTTATTTGCTCAGTTATTTAGTGTGGCTACGAGAATCTTGATATTTGTATTACGTACATGTCTTTTCGGATTTGAAGTCGATCTGTGGCCACACGAGCTTCTGCCTGTGTAGAAATCGTCCACATCACCTGAGGCCGCTGTGGTCGCTTGTTCATGAGGTGCAATCCCTCAAAGGGCACACAGTGATGCCTTGCGAGATACTGTTGATGATATAAATCCTTAGCATTGCATGAAGGACCCTAAACTATATGGGGAATTATGGTAGTTTCCTTATTCTGGGAAATGCTAAAAGGAGTTAGATCATCAGCCGTTGTAGACTTCTGCAGCGGCCTGTGGGCACATTGTGGGGCTCGGCTCAGAACACACATGGCCTTTGCATCAAGTTGACCATCACGCCCAGTTCTCTCCTCAACAGCCCCGCAGGAACTGGCACAGAAGGAGCCGTAAAACAGAAATGCCAAGAGGCCCTGCTGGAGCCAAACCTCAGGCGCGGGAAGAGCTGCAGGCTCAGGTCGGGAAGGAAGACGCGAAGTAGTCGTGACTCTGCACAGAAAGTCATTACTCTGGAACACGGGTCAAGCCAGAATCGAGTCCAGAAGAGAAATTTTGAAGAGCAGCCGGGATCATCCGGCAGTTCCATGAAGCGGAGGCCTTCCGGTTCTATTGGCAGAAACGGCTTCTTCGGGGCTCTCGAGCTCTTGGCTCCAGGCTCCCCTGGGGCCGTCGCTCACAGCACGAGGCTGCGATCCACGGCCATCTACGGCTTCACAATCCATCGCAGCATGCCCGCAGCCCTTAATCCTTCAGCTCTCCCCTGAATCACTGAAGCAAAATCCGAACGTTCTCCGAACTATGCCTTCCCAGCCTCATAGAATGATTCTCGAGAAAGGCGAAACATCCCACCGAAATCCTTTAGGAGCATCCCCTCATAGAACAGAAAAAATGTACACAAATCCATGGCAGCATCTTTGTTCAAACCCGTTTGGGCCTCGGCGAGACGCTTCGTGAGCCGCTCCTGGTCCTCGGAGCTCGGCACGCAGCCCGGCCAGCCGATCCAGAGGGCTTCCTGCTGAAACCGAAGCAACAAAGGTGACTGACTGGGTTGTAGCTTATAGGGGGCCCTGAAAAGTAGTTATGAATAGGTACAGTACCTCTATAAGAACTATAAGAGGAAATTTTAAAGTTTCCCAAACTGCCCCCTAGTTCTGGGCAATGCGCTCTCAAGCCCGAGTATTTCCCCAAGTTCTCCCTTCATCTCCATGTCCGTGACCCCCAGCGCGGGCAAAACCCAGGCTGAAGCATTCCTCGTAGGAGGCGATGCAGCTCCGAAGTGCGGAGGCCAGGCCACCAGCCGACCTTCGCCAGGCCAGCATGAAGAGGGGAGGTTGCCGAGTGTTCAGGTTTCGTATCCAAGGCCTTTTGGAGCACCCCATGCCAAAGCCTGCAAAGTCCTTTGTCAATGCCAGGCAGCAGTTCGACGTCATTTGGCGGCTGCCGATCTGGATGCAGAGTGACGGGCAGCCGGTTGGACACAACCTTTCATGCGGCAGGGGGCTCTTGTGAGATGGTTGCTTGCCGGCGTTGCCTTAAAGCTGCCCTACACCTCGAAGACCCGGTGAAACCTGGGGATCCGGCCACGACCCGAGGCATCGCCAGCTCTTTGCATCGGAGGCGAAGGGCTTCTTTTTCTATCCGGAAGAAGGTTCTGAGGGAGAGCGCGGCTTGGTGACTAGGTGAGGCGCTGTATCTGCGGTTGCTACTCTGCTCTCAGTTGGTGACTAGACCAGCTGACGCTCTGAGCAACAACTTCTGGGATTTGCGGTTTCTGGCCACTGAAAAAACTGGCCTGACATGATGAAGCAGCTGAAAACTCCAGGAAAACAAAGCGAAACTTCCTTGAGCGGGGCGCCAGGTGATCAATGTTGACATCTAGCAAAGGCCAGCCTCTACGAGATGTTCGCCAAACTGCCGAGCGCTTGCAGAGGAGTGCAGACGTGGTTTGACAAAGAACCTCTTTTCTGTCACAGCCTAATTGGACTTGAGGAGGCAATCGCAGCATGGCATTCTAGACCCTAGGCCCCATGCAATTGCGAAACCTTTGGGAAAGGTCTTGACACGAGAGATCGCCGTCTTGGCCCAGCCTCAGCCATGGGTGAAGACCTGCCCTCCGAGCTACAGTGTCACAGTATCTGGTGCAGGCTCACCAGAGGCTGAACCTACAATGCCTGCTGCGAAACACCATCCAAGCATGCAGCTGGCAGCCTAGTTGGGTTGAATGTGCCGAATTGAAGGTGCTTTGTGCAGGGGGAGCCGCTGGCTTCAGCAGGCTTCGGGTGAATGCTCGCCGAAATCTGCGATCCTGCTCTGTAGACTGCGGGAAGTTACGTTAGGAACCGGATCTCTTGCTGATACTCTGCCCCGGCACGCCAGGCTAGCACAAAAGCTCCCTTCTCCACAAGCCACTTTTCGTGAATTCCAGCCCTGAACGGGCAAATGCCAGCTAACTTTAATTTTTGGTCTGCCATTGAGGTTTGAGGACACGTTCCGTCTTCGCGGTGTGCGGCTCGCCTAACGTCCTCAATAGCATACCAAGACTCGGCGGCAGGACATTCTGCCCGAGGTCGCTTGCTGCAGGCGCTTCCGGTATTTTCATTGAGCCTAAAGCCTTCCTGTCAAGGACCATAAGGACCTGGGTGGCTGGGGCCTGAAAGGACTTTGAGTCAGTACGGGTCTCTTTTTTGACCTACACAAGCTCATGCAAACACAAGTCCTGATGTGGCTAGGCTCCTGTTTTGGAAGACAGATTCCAAGCAAGCAGAGAAAATGCAGGTTGCATGTGCGGACGAGCACCACTAAGCCTTTAATTGAAGCATGCAGCTGCTTCTCACAGCTCTCCCTAGGCCCCCCTACTAGAACATGGCCTGAAACCTCATAAGATACCAAAACCAAAACTCAGCGCTGTACGAGGACCATCATTGCACCGCGGGGTTATCGGGCCATAGGGGCCTAGGGGAGATACACAGCCGAGGTGGTTAGCACAGGCCTTCGGCAGATGGGGCACATCCGGCACTGGCTGGCGCACCTGGGCTTGGAGCTGATGAGTCAGGGTGTAAGGGTAAATCATACTAGAAATGGGGACAAGCATGCAAGGGGGACACTGGTGAGAGTTCCCGCAAGGAGCCCCGTAGCTTCCAGTCTCTGAGGAGCTCTGAAATCGACCCCCGAATCTTCGAGGCCCCTGCTCCTGGCAGCAAACGACGTGGTGGCAGGGCTGGAAGATACACTGAACGTCCGCATCAGAGCACACCACGCCTCGGTATGATCCAGGCTTCCTTGACATTGCCACCGACTGCATGTTGGGTCATCACAAGTCACTTTGAATCCACGGATGGTCACACTCATCTATGTCGGACACTGCCGGTGCCTCGCATTGCACGGACGTTACCTTCACCAAGACGCAGGCCGGGCCATTGTATGCGGCCAAGAGGCATGTGAGCCTGAGCCTTGCCACCTGGATTGAGTAAGAGGGCTCTTCCAGAAACTCACGCTAGGCCTTCCAGGTACCGGGCCTAACCCCGACCTCACCCAGATTTGCTGCACTTGCACACCGGAATCTTCCGGCCGGCCTCTAATTGAAATGCCATCTTAGAACCTTTTTGCGGCCATCGGCCAGATGGCTCAGGGCAAACCCTCGTCTTCAAAGGTCCGACTGCTTCCGGCCGTGTCTCTTCCAGGTCAGCGGCGGCGGTGGAGGCCACAGCGCGCAGCGAGGCCTCCGCTCGGCCGCAGCAAGGGGCAAAGACCGTGACTTTTTGTGCAAAAAGAGTGGTGTCTCGGGTTTAAAGCTATATATAAGTTATAAGAGGCTTCGGATGGATCTTTGGCGCAGGGGTCTATGGCTCTTAAAGCGCCTCCTGGGTGTTGGGCTTCTGCTTCTGTTCCGAGCATTTCAGACGACACAACCTTATGACCTGCTCTCAGGTGGACCAGGGTACAGATCCTTTAAACACCAGGTGGAGGAATGAGTGGACAGACGTCGGTTGTTGATCGATGGGTTTGCAGTGTACGAGACGCTAGTGGATCTGCGAGCCTACCCAAGGAACCTGCAATAAATTGCCATAAGACTCCCACCGAAGTTGACGACTACCAATATGGGCTTGGAAGCGAGCCCTGTATACACGAGTACGACGTACGATGAATGCCTGACAAAGCCTGCAAAACAAAAGAATATGTAATGCAGGTGAGGGTCGATCTCGCCGTCTTTGGCTGCGAGCTCTCGCCTCTAGAACTCAAACATTGCCAGGCATGAGAACCCAGGGTCCAAGCACTGCTTCTTGCCCTTTCAGAAGAGCATGGAGCTACGGGAAAGGAACATCAAAGTCGCATGAGCTGGAGGTGGCCATTAGAAGAAGGAGCCCTGAGGAAGAATACTCCCCAGATTCAGGCTACTAAGGCTGGAGCAGGAAGTTTTCCTGGCGCCGTTGCAATGCCGCAAGGTTCCTGCAGTCGCCGGCGGGGGGGTGCTATCCGATCCAAGCGTCCAATCCCTAGGCGACGCCATCGTGCAACAGGAGCCAAAGCTCCACAGCAAAGC